AAAAAAAAAAAGAGAGACGAGTCGCGGTAACCTGCAGTTTTCCATCTAACACCTTCGCCAATTAGTTTCATTCTTCTATTGTGCCTTGGGTTTGTGAATCTTAACATAAGGGAAAAAGCCGAGAAAGTGTTCCACCTTAGGATTCCACTCACGTTGGCGAGCACGGCAGTACATGAGGAAAGTATTGGCAAAATATGAATTGAAGCCCATTAAAATGTGCCAAAGTGCATGACCCTGCGGATTGAAATACCAGCGCGAGATGTCCTTGCAGAACAAGCGGTCCACTAGCCAGCAAATGCTCCCACCCAAAAGCGTCAAAAGGTACAATTTTGCAAGCCTCTTAGCCGACCTGTCCTCCGTGAGAATATAGTACTTGTACATCCTCGGGATGCAAAGAAGGCAAAGCAGCACATAGTGCACTTTGAAACCAATGTCAAAACGGAGCTGAGAATGTGCAACCGCAAATACAGCACCGTAAAGGAAAAGAAATGTGGGCATCGTGCTCCGGTAGTGCCAATCGGGTGAATAAAGGATGTAAATGTAAAGGAGCATTTCCCACACCATCGGCGTTTCATCACCTTGCTGTTGCCTGACAACATACATAAGAATATTCACATTACAAAAAGTAAAGTTATAGTAATTTAGTGGCATGGTTAAGCTATTGTAACAGCCGAAGATGAACCTCCATTTAGTATTGACGAAATCGTCAAATCTAATGATGAAAAAGTAAAGTTGTAGCAATTTAGTGGCATGGTTAAGCTATTGTAACAGCCGAAGATAAATCTCCATTTAGTATTGACGAAATCGTCAAATCGAATGATGAAAATTTCTGTAGGAGCGTTTTAAACCTAGACTTTAAATATTATCTTTAAATTAATTATAGAAAAATGTTTTTGGGACATACTTGTTGCATTCATATTAGCATAAAACAGCCATTGATTTTATATTGTTATTATTATGGGAAAGTCAAAATTTTGGCATACATGCAATTTTTTTATATGTATCACTGTACATGACATAGAAAATAAGTATGAATTATGTGGTTCTATTTAGACGAACTCTGCTCAAAATTTGTCAGTCCAAGACTACGCACACTGAAGGACTGTTGAGGGCTCAAACCTGCAGGTCATATCTAAGACGTAAAAAGAAAACTTGTTTGAGGGCCCTCTTAGCGGTGGCCACAAGTTCAAACTAAACCATCTATATATATATATAAAGAGACAATCCAATTAATACCAGTGTTCTAGAAGTCGCTAGGCGCTCGACCAGCACCTAGGACTAGAAAAATTAGGAGTAGAAATTCTTAAATACCTTATTTTTTTATTTATTTTCAGTACCTACAAAATAAAACTATCTCAACTTATAAAAAATCCACACACCTAAGTCCAAACAATAATATTAATTAATATATTATAAGAAACCATGATAACAAATAATGCAATTAGTATTCAAAAAATTGCCGCCGAGCACGCTTGGCCGATTTTTCAGGCGATTCATGCAAATCGGAGGTGGCCACCTACTCCGCTTTTTAGTATTGTGATTAATACTATCCCATAATTTTTCCGCTCATGTTTTAATCTAAATATAGAAACTAACCATTATATTTTATATTAGCCTACTCCAACTTGTTTGGGACTAAAAGGCTTTGTTGTTGTTGTTGTTGTAAGTGTAACATATCTTTAACTATTCTACCATACAATTATTACTATAAATTAACTAACTAGAAGTTAAACAATTATAGAATTCTAAAAACATTTTCTTCAAGATACTTGTGTTATAAATAATATTATGTTTTTGTTTTTATCTCATTAAGCATTTATTTAAATAGCTAATTGGTTTTAATGGCATAAAAAAGAACCTTAAAATAGTGTAAGCAATTGCTATAACAATAGTTTTTAATATATTTTTCATTCATTAATAGGTCAAGATACCTTAAGTTCATAAAAATTACATTATTCATTTTTGTGTAATATATTTTGCGATTCATATATTAGTAAAACATTTTATAATTATATTCTAATGATCAAATTTATAAAATGAGATATGCTCATTATTTAACTTATGATTTCTAATATAATATTCATTCATATGACTTATCATATCTTATTTGCATCAGTGCATGTAGGATTGGGTACTAGTTGAAGCGAAACAGTGATCAACCGAACCAGAACCCTTGACCACAGTTCCAAATTAGAACTGGAACAATGAATTTACTCTCCGGTTCCAGTTCTACTTCCAACGTTCCGTTCCCTTCCGTTGACCATGTCTGAGCCCTCTCTATTAAATTTTTTTATCTTTCACTAAGAAATATTTGTAAAAAATGCTATGTAGTATGTGTATCCTTGTTTATGTTTCACCATGGATTAAAATAATCGGCAGTGGGTATGCATATGCATCTTTTTGTGTGAGCAAATTCCGAGTTGAGTCACATGGGTGCATTTTCTTAAACGAACAAATATTTTTCTTCTCGTTAGTCGAGTATTGTCGAAAAAACAAAAAGAAAAAACTATGTTGCCGCATTCCATCACTCATTTCCAGTTATCAGTATGGAATTGAAATCAAATAAAAAAAATGGTCATGCATTATTTTTCACATTCCTTGTACATACCAAAACAAGTGAATAGTTATATAACTCTATTTATTTCATTCCTAAATTCATTGTGCTCCGACCTAATCCATTCCTGTACACCAGCATAATGAGAATGGAACATTAATATGTAAACAGCAAGCAGCAAGATTTCAATCCGGCTGAAAATTTTGAGGAAAACCATGACTTTCTTTAATATTTGGTTCCTTTCTAACTCATATCCTTCAAACCATATAACCATTTTGTAGTGTTTCTATCACTATCAAGAATATGGAGTCCATGATATTAGTGCCATTGAAATCTAAAAGTTACTTTATCCTAATCAAACAATGAAAGGGCTGATCAATCCTAAACCCAAGTCCTAAGAAAGTACAAAACAGAATGTGCAAATATTGTCAAAGACAGAACAGACTAAGTCATTCAAGTATCCTTCACACATAATTTACGATAACGGAAGGAAAATTCCATTCGTTATACCATCAGAAGATAAATGAAGCCCTAAAATATGAGACCAAATATTATCCTGGCTAGGGTTGTAAACGAATCGAATCAAAGCGAATACCCAGAGATTCGATTCGATTCGTTTAAAATATTCGATGATTCGATTCGTGATTCGATTCGATAACGAATACATTTTTTGATTCGTATTCGATTCGTTTAGGATATTCGAACATATTCGATTCGATTCGAAATTCGTTTTCAAAAAAATATTATAATTAAAAAATATTATAATTACAAAAATAAATTTTATTTTCATATATTTTTAGAAAATTTTGTCAATTTATGATGTTTTTACTTTTTATGTCATAAAAATATTAGGAATATAACAATATATATATATACATACATTATAAACAAAATGTATATTATATATAATTTGTATAAAAATATTATAATTACAAAAATAAATTTTATTTTTCATATATTCTTAGAAAAATTTGTTAATTTATGATGTTTTTACTTTTTATGTCATAAAAATATTAGGAATATAACAATATATATATATACATATATTA